TTACCCTTTTTTCAACTTAGAGAGCTATTTGTTCATGATTTCATCCATTGGGGACCTTGAAGTGAATAGGTGCTAAATGTGGAACATTGGTACGACTTTCGTGGTTTAATGATATGTTTGAAGAATTGACCGACTCTCAAGATGCAGCGAGAAAAAGGGTCTAATATTGCAAAAATATTTGTAGCCAACATGTCTATGAGAAAAAGGAAGATATTTATTAGCAAGCAAATATCTATCACACATTGCGCGTTTCCTGTCGAACAAGCCTGTTTTTGTTGTCGATCTCCGAACGGCTGCGAGACTCACTCTGAAATCCTGATTGAGAGTGTGACTTTTTACCATTTTCAGCTTTCAACATTTATCGAAGTGGTAGACAGACCACTATAGGTTTCATTGGGCTGAAAGCTAGCCTGTGACTAAAGAAGTTGAGGCCCGTCTTATTGTGACGAAGATGGGAGTCTTGCCTTCGACGGCGGTTTTCACTCGTGTGAACAGCATTTGCAACGATGTAATACGGGAGCCTTGGGGATCTTTAGGACCACACGACGTCGCGTACGCGGCATCTACAAACACCGCATGCTTACAATGAGGCGCACGCCCGCGATGAACTCATTGGGTTACTGAATTAGATTGTGTTCGCTTCTGACTTCAGCCACGCTCTTCATCTGGTAGGACCTGGATTGTCGTGATCGCTAGATTTTGTTCTATTGCATAATAGTTTCATTGCATAGGAACCATAGTGCAGAGAAACCTGCGTAGATTTTGCTTGCGAGATTTAGCTCACCTCCTGATTCCTAATAATTTGACTGTCACAATGCTTTCTGGACAGCATACTCTCACCGGCTGTTGTGTACGACGAACTTTCGTGAAAAAATAGCAGCGAAATGTGATGGCGCGATAACATAGCCGTCGCAGCGCGCCGATACATATACCACGCTGCGATAGCATACGTGGCAAGTGTCGGCGCGACGCCGCGTGGTCCTAAGACCGTCACGCATGTAACTACGCAAGGAGCTGCGGCTTGGCTCCTATAGCTGCAAAATTTTGGTAGTGACGTGGATCTCAGCTTGAAGCGCCGAAAATGGCCAAAAAGGCGCCTCAGACAGCGCTGGCTCGACGCTCTGCATAGATTTACACGGCTAACGCCTACTCCCATCAGGCATTCATTGAGAGAAAGTAGCTCCATCATAAGAGGAGTACAAATCCCGCCACCGAACTGGGAAAACGTCAATTAATAGGAAAACGTAGAGAGAAGTTTGGTGAAAGGAAGTTGGAAAAGAGCAATATGGACCGAAACCCAATCATACTGTGAACAAAAAAAAATGAGTGAAAGTAGCAAAATCGGAAGAAAGTCTTCACACTGGGAGGAAATAAAGGACTGTAGAGGATAGGATTAAGAAGTCAGCGATAGTGACAAATGTTATGAAAGGTAGAGATCAGGACTTTCAAGGCACTTGGTTGAAAATCTTTTTGTATAGGAGGAAATTAAAGCTGTATATATGACAACTAATAGAGAGAGAGGGGAGAGAGAGCCGGAGAGGAATGTGAGGAAAAACAGAAGAAAAACGAAATGGGATTAATGGAGATTATGAAAGGAAGGCTGAGGAAGTTAGATCAGAATTCTAAGACGACTTTAGTTTTCAAAAGCCAAAACTGTTTGATAAACCCTTTTGGAGCCTGCTTTCAAGTGGACAAGAAACTGCAAAACATGAGTTGCACAACGTACGTTACTGTCGGTGGTGAAGCGGCTTCTGCGGCCGATGGCGGAAGTATCCGCTGAAGGTCTGACTGGTGCACAGATGCTGATCTAAAAGATACTGTGAGTGCTACAAGCAAGAGTTCCACGTTCAAGTTTTGTAAGTACCCAGAAGGAAATCGAAGATTCATAAAAATTATAAGGAGTTTTTGGGATGCGTTGGTGTTTATTAGAGGTGGTGAATTAGACTAGATTGCACTTTTCATCCACTTATTCGGCATTTGCTTATTATCCGCTTTAGATGAAGAAGGTTCAAAGAAGTCCTTAATGTCACCGCCAGAGGACGTCCTCTGTTGGGTAATCCCCATTTGGGGAGGGGAGAGGGGGAGGTTGTATTTTGTTCGTATTGATAATTGATTTTTTTCTCTGTATCACAGGCGCTATTCACATCGTTGGGAGAATTTCAGAATTTTCAATGAGGGGTGGGGGTCGCGCTCGTTCGTCTTTAAGTGGGAGGAAAAACTTGAGGCGCTTCTTCTCCCCTGATCCTTCCCCACGCCTCCCCCCCCCGCGCACGATGGCGGTAAAATTTTTGGGAAAACTGGAAAGTTCCCGGGATCTTGGAAAATTCTGAGAGTTGTCGGAAAATGTGGTAGGAGGCCGGGAAAAGTTGGAGGATGGGTACCCAGCGGCACGACGTACCCTGGTTACCTTTGTCCTGAGCTTCAGGATATATTCACAGGTGTGGTGAGTAATTTGAAGACTAATGAACCGTTCGAAGAATTTGCTCTTTCAGCGTGGGAGCAGTTAAGTGCAAGCATTGCGCTGGCCCTTTGTGCTGCATATTCCTTTACTCATTGATGAGCTTTGGAGCAAAGTCTAGAGTTTACACAGTTTCTGTCAAGTAACAGCTACATTACCAGTTGTTAGCTCCCGGACGTTCCGCCCGCCCTCGAAGGATAGCTCCTAGGGTGTTGTGCACAGGGAGGACCCATCGCTTAGGTAATAGCACATCATGCCTTTGAGATCTACAAGGGGTTGGTAGGATGTGCTTTGGTCGTACTTCTGATTTTCAGCTGACCTCCTGTGCGCATGCTGGTCCAACGCGGCTTGCTGAGCAGCTACTACTGGTTAATGAACCACCTCTGCTGCTGCAGTGACGAAAGCAAAACCAAGGCAAACGCCGTTCTTCGTAGTCATAAGTGTGTAAGCAGCTTTCTATAGTTATAACTGGAGGAAGGGGAGAGAAAATGCAAGAAATGCGATCTCTTATTAAGGTTTCGAGCATCTTCATTCGTAACGTACCGCCTTATTAGATGTCTCCGTGCCGGATCCGACAAACACACCATTCTCCACATAGTATTCCATATGGAACGACTTATTGTTAGTCTAAAGCAATACGAAACTGAGGTAATTCTGAGAAATTTTCAATGTTTTGTGTGAACTTTGATCCACAACTGACCGTTTTGAACCTTGTACCATCCGGGAAGTTTCGTAATGTCCTAAATTTGTATATGAGGCAAATAAACCCGCGACGACGAAATTGTGCATTAGGGTGTCTCAAAGTTCGCGACATTTTTCTGAATCTCGCTTCAGAACCGCCCCTTTTCCGGAATTCCATGCAAAATTTCCGCAGCTATTTCGAGATCCACTTATGCTCTGGAAAGCGTGTTGACTAAGCAACCCACAGTTGCTTTACCGCTTTTTGCAGTTGCTCTTTTCATATGCAAAACGGCCATTGAGATTCATCATTTTCATCACACATCGCTATATTAGCCTCCACCGAGTCACAACGTGCTGGAGCCACACGCCTTCACTTGCTTTGAGTTAGGTCCTAATGCTACCTTCAATAGTGGAAGTGCTGCGTTCCTTGATTGAAACCAGTTAGTACGAAGCAACTCGCTATCTGTACCCTACACTTGGCTGTTCTTGAAGCACAAATGACGGAGGTTCTCGTTCCCTTGAAAAAGTAATGAAGTTTGGCCAAAAGTTTTCTCATGAGCTGACCCATACTGGGGGGGGGGGCATGTGGGTGTGGGTAGTGTCTACAACTTCTCTCCCGTTTCCGCCGGAGAGACAAACAGCGTTGTAACTGGATATGGAGGAGGAGGTGTCTCTGGGAACCACTTGAGGAAGCGCCAGTGGCTAGATCCTATAGAAAGGGCGGGAGCGGTCGCACAGTCCTCAACACAGTAGGAAGGTGATACTGTGTGTGTGATAAATTGGTCATGGGGTTAATCGCAGGGAATTTCTTCCTCTCAACGCTGTTGTAACCAGCGAGTCTCCTGTGATTAAGTGCAGGGGGAGTATGAAAATGCCCATCATTTGCTCCCGCAACCCAGCAATGTTCTGAAAATGACACTGGTCGAGATCCTAAAGCTTAGCTTGGGAATTCCACCACAGTCTTCGTGTAGTCCTGAATAGATCGTCCTGACTGTCATCCGAAATAATCTCTTAGCGTTCATCTTCTGGGTGAGAAATACGGTTTTCAAAAGGCTTCAAAAACGACCGCTCCCTTCCTTGGCATGGCACCAAAAAACTTTTGAAAGCAAGCCAAACATTCTTTAATCGGTGGCTGGCTGCAAGTTGCCGATGAAGGTAATATAAATTTTCCTGATTCAAACCGGTTCTTGTTGAAATACATTTGACTCGAAAAAAAAAGTTTGAAAACGTCACAAACTTCGGACACCCTAACACTTTGCATTACCTGTTTTGACTGATGAAACGCTTTCTTATTTGGTCTTCAAGGGTGGCAAACTTGAGGGTACGACAACAAACGATGGTTTAAATAACTCACCAAATCTTGTCATCGTCAAATCCAGGTTATTAAGGATCGTTGGAATTAGTGACAGGAGAGCCTAGTGGGGGTAAAATTGTCATGAAGCGATTAGGCGCGACCATATTGAGAATTGTAAAATGGGTCCGCATGAACACCCCATCTGCTGTGAATAATTTTCAAATGACTCTGGAGAAGATGAGATGTATCCGGTCAAGCAACAGCTCTTAATCATTTGGTCGTGATTCGTGACAGCATCTCTAAGGGAACCACACCCGCGGAATCCGTAAAAGTTCCTTTAGCTGTTAGACCGTTGCGGAAAAATGTGATGGCCCTAGGTACACTCGAAATCCCTGAGACGCGGTAGGCGTGGACTACGTACTTCAGCTTAACTTGAAGGTGTCTAAGCCTCTAGTGAGATATTTTTCCTTTGACAATAGTAGTGATGTCCCTGAGTAACACAGTACAAGATGGCAGGTCTCAAAGTAAAATATGAAAATATCCACCGCTGCGTAGACCATCCTGTGCATGTTTGTACGCGACGCCTACTCCGTCTCAGGTATAGGGAGGGTACAAGGGCACATCATCGATCGGGGATTCTGGTTGAGTCCGTGCGGTCCCTAAAAACTGCGAAATGTCAAGAAACGGGAAAAAATTTTCCCAGCGCGACCAGTTATTTTCGGAAGCGAATACGATCCCTCCTCTCCCAACAACGAGCAAATATGAAACCCCTCCCACCCTTAATAGCGTTCATGGAACAAGAAAAATCAACACCCTCCTCCCATCAGCCGATACGAATCTCCCCCCCCCCC